AGTGACCAGTGTGAAGGGAAGCGTGAGTCTGGAAGTCAGAAATGCCGGGGGCAATATTCCCTGAAAACTGGGGGCACGGAGGCCCCAAGAGGGAAAGTCCAGGGAAAGACTGGTCAGAAAGTAAAAGGTCTGCAGGCCTCTGACCAACCCTGTGAGGGTTCCTAGGTGGCTCAGTGGTAAAGAATCTGCCTGCCAGAATAAACAATGGGGCAAAGACAGCCTCTTCAATAAGTGGTGCTGGGAAAACTGGAGAGCTACGTGCAGAAGAATGAAATTAGATCACTACCTAATGCCATACACAAAGATAAACTCAAAATGGATTAAAGACCTAAGTATAAGACCAGAAACTATTAAACTCTTAGAGGAGAACATAGGCAGAATACTCGATGGCATAAATCAAAGCAAGATCTTCTATGACCCACCTCCGAGAGAAATGGAAATAAAAATAAAAAGTGGGACCTGATTAAACTTAAAAGCTTTTGCACAGCAAAGGAAACTACAAACAGGGTGAAAAGACAATCCTCAGAATGGGAGAAAATAATAGCAAAGGAAACAACTGATAAAGAATTAATTTCCAAAATGTATAAGCACCTCATACAACTCAATACCAGAAAAGCAAACAACCCAATCAATAAGTGGGGAAAGGACCTGAAGAGACATTTCTCCAAAGAAGACATACAGATGGTTAACAAACACATGAGAAGATGCTCAACATCATTCATAATTAGAGAAATGCAAATCAAAACTACAATGAGATACCACCTTACACCGGTCAGAATGGCCATCATCAAAAAGTCTACATACAATAAATGCTGGAGAGGATGTGGAGAAAAGGGAACCCTCTTGCATTGCTGGTGGGAATATAAATTGATACAGCCACTATGGAAGATGGTATGCAGACTCCTGAAAAAGCTAGGAATAAAACCACCATATGACCTAGAAATCCCACTCATAGGCATATACCCTGAGGAAATAAAAACTGAAAGACACATGTACCCCAATGTTCACTGAAGCACTGTTTACAATAGCTAGAACATGGAAGCAACCTAGATATCCATTAATAGATGAATGGATAAAGAAGCTGTGGTACATATATGCAATGGAATACTACTCAGCCATGAAAAAGAATGCATTTTTGAATCTGTTCTAGTGAGGTGAATGAAGCTAGAGCCTATTATACAGAGTGAAGTAAGTCAGAAAGAGAAATATAAATATTGTGTACTGATACAAATATACGGAATCTGAAGAGATGTCACTGACGAATTTATTTTGAGGGCAGCAACGGAGAAACATAGAGAACAGACCTATGGACACAGTGGGAGGAGAGGAGGCAGAAGGGGAGATGTATGAAGAGAGTACTTAGAAATTTACAATACCATACATAAAACAGATCGCCAGTGGAATTTACTGTATGACTCAGGAAATTCAAACAGGGGCTCTGCGACAGGCGAAGGGTGGAATGGGAAGGGAGATGGGAGGGAGGACCGGGCGGGAGGGGACATGGGTGTACTTATGTTTGATTCTTGTTGATGTATGACAGAAAACCACAAAATTCTGTAAAGCAATTATCCTTCAATTAAAAAAATTAAAACAAAGGAAAGAATCGACCTGCTAATGCAGGAGACGGGTTCGATCCCTGGGTTTGAAGTTCCCATGGAGAAGGGAATGGCAACCCACTCCAGTGTTCTTGCCTGAAAAATCCCATGAACAGAGGAGCCTGGTGGGCTACAGCCTACAAGGTAGCAGAGAGTCACACACAACCGAATGACTGAGCATGCACGTATGCACGACCCCATCTCATCCTTCTTCTGGGTGGGGAGTGGGGCAGGCAGGGAAGGCTGCACTGGGAAGTGTGTGCATTCTCAGGACTCTGATGGCAACAGGTGACAGAATTCAGTACCTCTGCAACTGCACAGAAATCAGAAAATGGCCTTCAAGATTTCAAAGGGCATGATTGGGAAGGCTGAGGAGCCTGAACTCCATCCTGAAGTTGTCTCTCTTGCAGCTTGAGGGATCTAGACATCGGTGGTAGGTTTTCTGTTTGTTTTTAATATATCAGATATGAATTCCCCCGTTTGAAGCAAGCATGTCTGAGGCAGGGTGCAGGGGCCAATGATAGCCAGGGAGCCCCAGAGAATTCTCAGGGCCCTTGGGTGTCTGTGTGCTGTCCCCAGGCCTAGCACAGTGCCTGGGACTGAGGAGACACTTTATGAAGCTTGAGAATCTGTTCTTAGCATACAAAGTGTGTCCTGGGTGGTAAAGTTTGACAGGGCTTCCCTGGTGGCCCAGTGGTAAAGAATCTGCCTGCAAATGTAGGAGACATTGTTTGACTGAAACAATGAGGTCTGTATGAGGTCACCAGGACAACTCACAGGACCTTCTAGACCAGAGCCCCGGGTCCAGCCATCACAGCCTTAGTGGTCAAGGTTGGGTTCTAATCCACTGACTAACCAAGTGGCCTCAGTTTGCACCCCAATTCTGGAAGCACAGTTCAAAGACCCATTGAGTGCCGGTTTGATCCGTGGTCTGGGAAGATCCCACATGCCGTGAAGCAACTGGGCCTATGCACCACAACTACTGAACCTGTGCTCTAGAGCCTAGGAATCGCAACCACTGAAGCCCACACGCCCGAGAGCCCGTGCGCCATGAGAAGTCATAGCAATGAGAAGCATGTTCCCAGCAACTAGAGAGTAGCTCCTGCTCACCACAACTAGTCAAAGCCTGCGCAGCAGTGAAGACCCAGCGTAGCCAAAAATAAATAATTGACACAGCTGTAAAGCTCATTAGAGGCAGGATAAGGCAATGTGTCATGCTGATTCTATGACAGGTAGCCAGAAGTCATATTAAGCATGTTTAATAACTAGAACTACTTCAGTTCAGTTCAGTCACTCAGTCATGTCCAACTCTTTGCGACCCCATGAATCACAGCACTCCAGGCCTCCCTGTCCATCACCAATGCCCAGAGTTTACCCAAACTCATGTCCATCAAGTCGGTGATGCCATCCAGCCATCTCATCCTCTGTCATCCCCTTCTCCTCCTGCCCTCAATCCCTCCCAGCATCAGGGTCTTTTCCAATGAGTCAACTCTTTGCATGAGGTGGCCAAAGTATTGGAGTTTCAGCTTCAGCATCAGTCCTTCCAATGAACACCCAGGACTGATCTTCTTTACGATGGAATGGTTGGATCTCCTTGCAGTCCAAGGGACTCTCAAGAGTCTTCTCCAACACCACAGTTCAAAAGCATCAATTCTTCAGAGCTCAGCTTTCTTTGTAGTCTAACTCTCACATCCATATGTGACCACTGGAAAAACCATAGCCTTGACTAGACTGACCTTTGTTGGCAAAGTAATGTCTCTGCTTTTTAGTATGCTGTTTAGGTTGGTCATAACTTTCCTTCCAAGAGTAAGTGTCTTTTAATTTCATGGCCGCAATCACCATCTGCAGTGATTTTGGAGCCCCCAAAAATAAAGTCTATCTACAAAGCAGAATGGATTCTGGCTGAAAGATCATCTCTGTGTATAGCAATGGTAGGATCTCTCTGGGCTCTGGCTCACCTAATGTTTTAACAAAATCAGGGGACAGAGGGGTACTCAATGGGGCTTTGAACTGTGCTTCCAGAATTAGGGTGCAAACTGAGGCCACTTGGTTAGTCAGTGGATTAGAATCCAACCTTGACCACTAAGGCTGTAGTGGCTGGACCTGGGGCTCTGGTCTAGAAGTTCCCGTGAGTTGTTTTGGTGACCTCATATAGAACATCAGCAATCAAGAGGCCAAAACTATTATAGAGTCCAGTTTTCAGGGGCCTCTGGCATCCGAAATGAGACTTCAGGGTCTTTTTGGGCTTTGCTTTGACCTGAGCATGTTCTGCCAGAAACCTGACATCTGGATGTTTCTGGGTTGGCATCCTGGCAGCAGTACATACCTATCTTCTGGCTGTTCCCCAGGGAACATGCTGGAGGAATCATAATGGCAGAGCAAGCCTCTCCTGTCCTCTGCACTCTGGAAGTCCCCAGAGAATGGTAAGGACCTTGTCCAGGGACTGCTGAATGCAACACTGGCCTGTTGCTGGTGTCTGATCATGCTGGGGTTTCTAGGAGTACGTGTGTGTGTGTGTGCGCACGCGTGAGCTCAGTTGTGTCCAACTCTGCAACTCCCTGGATTGTAGCCCGCCAGGCTCCTCTATCCATGGGATTTTCCAAGCAAGAAGACTGGAATGGATTGCCATTTCCTTCTCCAGGAAGGGATCGTCCCGATCCAGAGATCGAACCTGCGTCTCTTGCATTGGCAGGCAGATTCTTTACCCCTGAGCTACCTGGGAAGCCCTCTAGGAGTGCTCAGCTATGACTTATTTAGAATGGAGGATCTTCCTTGAATTAGGGTGGCCTCAGCTGGCTCCTGTTATTCAGGCTCATTTGATAAGGATTTAGCTGTGTGGTTGCCTAGGCTAACTATTTGAAAACACCAATCGTTGAAAGTCAAGTGGCCAGCGCTGAGTTTTCTTGTCTCTTTGAGCTATTTCAAGCCACAGTGGTTAGCCTTTGGGGCCCACTATGTAAGTTTCTCTTGAGTTCATCTCGTCAAGCCTTAAAGCCGTTTTTAATGCTATCTGTGTCCTGGGAGCTGACTTCTCACAGAATTAGATTCTTTGAAAAATAGACGCAAAAGCAAAAGTTTCCTAGCAACATGGCTGCCTGTATACATGTTTGGGAGGCTCCCAAGCCAGGCAGACATGGGTGGGCTGAGTTAGGATGGGCTTGGATGAGGGCAGGAAAAATCAGGTCTATGATTTTGGGAGGAGCCTTTGCTAACTTTGGGGTCCAGAGAATATTTCTTTTATTTTGAGGAGATCTGTTGACAAGATGCAATGGAAAAATGAGTTTTTTAATAGCTGTGGTAACCAGAGAAGTATTATTTCTGGTGTATAAGGATTGGGCTACTTGAATGTAGAAACCTGGTCAACTCAATCTTAAATATTTTGAATCATATTGGGGGAGGGGACACTGGCCCACACGTGGTGTTAAAGACCAGGTCCAGGAAATAACTGTACATCAGAACACCTTTCATGCAGGGCTTCGCTCCTGACCTTGGGCCTTGGAGGGCCACATGTGTGACTCCTCAGAATCCACATGGTGTGGCTCAGGCCTCAGAGTTTCACCAAGTACCAGACCTGGTCCAAGCATATGCAGAAGGCCTTCTCTGCTTGCTCACAGGCACACCTCTGAATTGTTCATCCTCAGAATGTCCAGCTTTATGAACGGACGGGCTCCTCCAAATTGACTTTATGAATTGAAAATGATTGGAAGTGAGTCTTTTATTGTGACCGCCCTGATTAGGGCTATCATACCATGTGAGGGCCTGGTGAGGGAAAAAAAGAGAGGTAGGGATTTGATGGCTAAAAGTACTTACGTGGGATTTGTATGTATTTGCAACCTAGTTAGATCCTAATTTCCCTTCCAGACTGATGTCCCCTGTCTTGGTGGCCCCAGCCCTGACCCTAGGATGTCCTGTTTTAGCTAGAGTTCCCAGTTTTTAATTTTTACAAAGACATCAAGTCCTTGCTGGGAGTGGTCAAGGATTTATTAAGTACTCATGGTAAGTTTCTTCCAGACTGTCCTAATTGGAAGACCTGACCTTCAAAACATGAATATACCCTTGAAACCAGGGGTCCCCAACCTCCAGGACCTAATGCCTGATGATCTGAGGTGGAACTGATGCAATAATAATAGAAATAAAGTGCACAGTTAAATGTAATGCACTTGAATCACCCCGGTCTGTGGAAAAATTACCTTCCACAAAACTGGTCCCTGGTGCCAAAAAGGTTGGGGACTGCTATTTAAACTGTTTATGGTATCGTCTGGTTGGAGGACACCCACCTAGGAGAGTGCTGGATGTAAGAACTGGATGGAGCTCCGCATCCAAGTACCCAGGTGAATCTGAGACCAACGGTGTCCTTCAATTAACCTGTTGTATTCTATTCCAGTTGCTCCTGGGTGGGGCCAGGCGCTGTGGGGCTTCCAGCATGGCTTACACGCAGCAGCTGCACAGCTTGTGGGTATGGCCTCAGAGGCCGTGGGGCACCCCAGTGTAGGGACTCACCTGTGCTGTGTGTCCATACCGGGCCATGTGGACCAGAGTTCAGGAGGCTTTTTGACAGCCTGTAATTTGTCATGACGAAGATCCTAGTTCCCTGTGAAGGGGAGCCGGATCCTGGCTATCCTGGGTTTTAGGGTGGAGAGTTGGGTCTTGATTCCTGGTGAATGACATCATTCTTGGGGGCTCAGAGGGGATAGCTGGAAAAGAGCATCTATTAAGCTGAGGAAAGTGCCATGGTTCCCTTGGGTCCATTTGGCTGGTGTGTGTGTGTAGTGCATACAGGTGAGGGAGTTTAGGTGAGCGTGAACATGACTGTGTATAAATGTCAGGAAGGTGCAGCAGGAGGTGGCTTATAACACTTACATAGGAAGCCCACTGACCTACCCCATGCAGTGCATGCTGGGCTGGTCAGAAAGGCAAGAAGATGTAGAGTTCTATCAAGCTGTTGTTTCTATCCAGGTAATTCCCTACCCATCCACGCCCCCCCCCAAAAAAAAAAATGGGTTGAGTTTAGCAGATAGGACAAGTCTCAGTACAGGCATGGGCTCAGTCATTCAGTCATGTCTGACTCTTTGTGGCCCCACGGACTGTAGCCTGCCAGGCTCCTCTGTTCGTGGGATTTTCTAGGCAAGAACTGTGGAGTGAGTTGCCATTTTCTGCTCTGACCTCATAATGAAGGGTGACCGATGACCTATGCCAGAAGAATCCAGGGGTCAGAGCCTTCCAGAGACAGGCACCAATCCCTCATTGAAGCAGTAGCCTGGGCTGCGATCCAACCGCCCCAAGATTCTGCTACAGTGGAAGAGAGCCCAGGGAAATCGCCAGCTACTGTGGTTTAGTCCCACTGCTTCCAGAAAGGATTGTTCAGACCTAGAAGGGTGAAGAAGACTCCCTCCAGTCCAGGCACGGTCTGGGTGACGGCACCCCAGGGCACAGGCCCAGCTGGGGCAGCTAGGATGCAGCTGATGGTCTTGGCACCTGGCCTCCACTTGCCAGCAGGGCCCCCAAGAAGGAGCTGCAGTATCTCCAGTTATTTTAGGGTGGCTACAGAAGATGTTATTTGTATTGCCACTGTGTCTGAGGAATAGTACATAAAGTACATAAAGTGTGCTGGAGATGGTCCAGGGCAAATTCATCAGACTGAAACTTGGTTTCTTCCAGGCTGAGGATCTGTGTGCCTCTGTTGTGGCTTCTGCAAACCCCAGTGCATCCAGCCATACCAATTCCACAGAACACCCTACTAGCCACTCCCAGGATCATACAAGTAAATTTCTGGAAACCAGACCAGGTCTAGGGACCCACCATACAGTACACAAGTTTCAAATGAAAAGAGATAAAAATTATTTTCAAAATATATAAGGTATCAACAATGTAACATCATCATTGAAAGTGTTTGTAATCTCTTTGTAGATCTGAGTTGATCCCAAGTGTTAATGGGCCAGGCCTCTTTTATGATGATTATACCACAAACCACCTCAGAGGGCAGGCCAGGTTATGGGTTGGAGATACCACTAAAAAAATATAAAATCCCTTCAAGTTCACCAATAATCATTGCATGCTTGTATTAAAATTACCAAGCAAATAAACACTATGGAATGTGTCTAATGAAAATTATGTGAAAACAGCCCAATTTCTATCTCACCATTTCAAATGTAAGTTTCATTACTGACTGTTTTAACAAAAATTATCTCAAAAGTCATGTTGGTTAAGTTAAAGGATAAATTACATCATAGAAAGTATTTATAAGCATCGCTCATATTTCAATTGCCATAATGTTCTTTGCCAAGCTATCTTATGATCAAAAACTCAATTCTGCATTTTTGTGTAATCTATATTTTCTAAACATAAATCTGTTCCACAACTTTATACTTTTTTTGAGCAGAACTGGGCACAATTACATGCTAAGTTATAAGTGAAACTGAGAAATTTTATATTTGCTCTATTCAGCCATAAAGGTAACATGTTACTGCTAAGTCACTTCAGTCGTGTCCGCCTCTGTGTGACCCCATCCCTGGGCTTCTCCAGGCAAGAACACTGGAGTGGGTTGCCATTTCATTCTCCAATGCATAAAAGTGAAAAGTGAAAGTGAAGTCGCTCAGTCATGTCCGACTCTTGGTGACCCCATGGACTGCAGCCTACCAGGCTCCTCTGTCCATGGGATTTTCCAGGCAAGAGTATTGCAGTGGGGTGCCATTGCCTTCTCCGAAAGGTAACATAGCAATTAGCAATTCTACTATTACAGTAATTCATTAGTAATTCTCTTCTCCTATAATAATGAATGTCCTGAGTCACTCCTTACACAAATTTCTTTGTACCATTATTTATCTTGATGTTTTAATATCTTTCCCTGATTTCTTACAATTGGGACTTGCAAAACCATAAACATTTGACATCCTGTGGAACTTCTCCAGATCGATACAGATCAAACCCTGATTTTACTTTAAATGTTACCTTGCTCCATTAAGTAATGAAGTCCTTTCATAAAAAGCATTTCCAAAAGTACACTATACAATCAAGTATTAAATTCAAGTAGAAATACCCAGATGTTCACAGACTAACAAAAATTTAACAAAACCATACAATTCAAATTGAACAAACCACTTGGGGGTGGGGTGTGGGGAGGAGGGGAAGGAGCTGGGTTCTAAACCAGGGGTAAATGTAGACCTTCTTTCCAGATCTACTCCCAAGCATGTAAGTGTTCCTTTATGTCTTTAAAAATTAATAGGGAGCTTTTCACCAAAGAACAATCTCTATCTTCTGATTAAAAAGAATAAAGGAATGAAAAGGTCACATTTTCACCTTCCAACTTTACAATAATCAGACTTCTCAACTCCTCTGGGTCTGGCAGAGATTAGCCTCTGGTTCTCTGAGGCTAAGGGAGATTTGTCCTGGATGTTCTTCTTTGCTCCTTTGCTGAGTCATCTGTGAGGCTTGATCACTTCATTTGAGCTCATTTGTCTTTCCTAGGCTTGGAACCAGCATGGCTCACATTTCCATTGCCATTGTAAAGTTCCAACAAGATGATCGCTGATTACTTCACCTTTAATTTTTCCTCCTGTTAATCCCTCTCTGTTTTCTACCCCCGCCCACTCCCACTCATCTTCTAGTCTGTATTCTAGTTGCTGTTGTTGTTCAGTTGCTAAGTTGTGTCCAATTCTTTGTGACCCCATGGACTGCAGCATGCCAGTCTCCTCTGTCTTCCACTATCTCCCCGAGTTTGCTCAAATTCATGTCCATTGAGTCAGTGATACTATCTAACCATCTCATCCTCTGCTGCCCCCTTCTCTATGTGCCTTCAGACTTTTCCAGCATCAGGGTCTTTTCCAATCAGTGGGCTCTTTCCCATTCCCTTCTCCATGGGATATTCCTGACCCAGGGATCGAACTGATGTCTCCTGCATTGGCAGGGGGGTTCTTTACTGCTGAGCCACGAGGGAAGCCCCTGTATTCCAGTCCCACCTACAAATCAGAGCACTTCCCACAAGAAGCTTTACAAGGGTACCTCCTAAGGCCTGCAATGACAATTGTACATGTGGGATCTTAGTTCCAAGACCAGGGATTGAACCTAAGTCCCCTGCATTGGACGGCAGATTCTTAACTACTGGACCACCTGGGAAGTGCCAAGACTGTTTTTAATATCTTGAAGCAATATTATTAAAATAGTCACAGTTTTTCAAACTACAGCGTGCAGGTCCTGTGCCAGAGTGATTGCTGATCCTAACACAAAAAGGGACAGGCAGTATTTCATCAGATCTAATGCTACTCAGTGTAGGTGAAGCTGCTCAGTCGTGTCCAACTCTTTTCGACTCCGTGGACTGTAATGTAGCCCGCCAGGCCGCTCTGTCCATGGGATTCTCCAGGCAAGATTACTGGAGTGAGTTGCCATTTCCTTCTCCAGGGGATCTTCCCCCACCCAGGGATCAAACCCTGGTTTCCCGCATTGCAGGCAGACTCTTTACCACCTGAGTCACCAGGGAATCCCCCTACTCGATGTAACATGAAGGAGAGGACAAGATAAAAACCCTATCAACTGTATTATAACCTGACATTGATTGCAAATTGTAGCCTAATTTCAGAGATGTTAAAATGAGAAGGAAAAAAAAAAAGCGCATCTTAGACTCGATGGTGAATTTTGCAGAAGAAGCTGAAGCTCAGAGAGGCTGTGTGATGTGGCCAGAACCACAAAGCTCATCAGAGGCAGAGCTGGGTTTAGATTGTGCCAGAGTCCCTGCCTCTCCAGAGGTTGGAAGGCTTTTTCTCCCCTGTGGTTTCCTTTTCCTCGCCTGCCTGTTTTCAAGAAGCAGTTCCTAAGCCATCTGTCCTGGAAAAAAGAGCTTCCCCTTTCGGTTACTACTTAACTACTTACTAACAGAGGGAAAGCAAGTACCCTTCCGAGACAGCAACCCCTCTTGGCCCTGCCTAATTATAGAGACTGCCCATTGTGCTGCCGCTACATTATTTTTGGCAGGGGGATGGAGGGAGGGGAAGGAGTGGGTGTCGGTGATGGTTATGCTTACCCTCCCCCTTCTCTACTTGCCCTGAGGCAGCAGGGGAGGGGGGACCCGAAGCCTTTGCAAGTGGATGAATAAAAGCTGATTTAGGAAGCTAGAAGCTGCAGGGCAAATCCACCCACGCCTCTCCTGATCAGATCTTCTCACTCTTCCCCAGCAAAATGCGCTGCCCCCCTGCTGATCCTGAACTCAGCATCACCCCTTAGACTTCAAAGTTTTTTTTCCTTCTGAATTGATGTCCTGTGTCTCCGGAGATGAACTCCCCAGCTGCTGAGCCCACTGCCCGTTTGTTGGGTGATCTAATAAATACTTAGTGAGCATCAACTTCATAGTACTCTGAAGATGAGTGATAAGCCAGGGCACACACAATTCCTGCCCTCTTGGGGTTTGCAGTCTAATGAGAGAGACACTTGTCATCAAAGAAGCTTCTAAATTACTATAAAATGACAACTGTGATAAAAGGTTCTCAGGAAGACCGGCAGCTGAGACAGCTCCCGGAGTATTCTGTGTGCTCCTCTGCATTTCCCAACAACCCCTTTCCCCGTGTCCCCAACCTGCCTTGCAGTTTCAATTGGGGCCAAGAGATGAATTCTGGCCAAGGATCAAGAGTGGATGTGATGTGTGTCCCCTCCAGGGAAAGACTTTAATAACTGATGCCTCTCTTTCAACTCTCTTTGTTCTGTTTTCAGGATTGTGTAGATGCTGGAGCTACAGAATGAAGGAGGGCTATGCAAACCACACTGAATTTTACATTTAGGGGAACTAAACTCCTATTGTGCTTGCTCACTGAGACCTCAGTTCGACTCAGTAGCTGGTGTGCTGTGCTGAGCTAAGTCACTTTAGTCATGTCTGACTTTTTGCGACCCCACGCACTGTAGCCTGCTAGGCTTCTCTGTCTGTGGGATTCTCCAGGCAAGAATATTGGAGTGGGTTGCCGTGGCCTCCTCCAGGAGATCTTCTTGACTCAGGGATCAAACCTGCATCTCTTATGTCTCCTGCATTGGCTGGCAGGTTCTTTACCACTAGTGCCACCTGGGAAACCCCCAGTAGCTGGTGGTAATTGCCTTAACTAAGACAGAATCACAGTTCTTATAAGGGAAAGCAGGGAGACAAGTGAGCAGGCCAAGGGCCAGGAAAGGCATCCTTAGGAAAGTGACACTTAGGTCAGGGTCCAGAGGAAGAGTGGGAGTTAACTTGGAGAAGAATGTGGGGAAGGGAGCATTCAGACATACTGACAGTCTGTGCAACGGCCCTGTGATTAGAGGACGCAGGACTCATTTGATGAAATGGACAAAGGGCGGAGGGACAGAGGGGTGTTGTTGAGGGGCTCACCTACCTACTATCTGGCTGATCTGAGACATGCACACTGGGATACCACCGCTTCTCGAGGCCCCTGAACTGCCAAGGGCTGCGGGATGGGTCACTCAGGCTTGAAATGAGGACTCAGCTTTACCTTTTCTCTTGGCCCTTCACAGTCAGTTAGTGGGCACCTGGACAGAGTCTAGGCCATGGTCTGCCCCTCTGTGTTTCCTTGTCTGTGCTACTCTTGGGAACAGAGGACCCTGGGGAGGAGGGTGGGAGATGGGGTCCTGGGAAGCTCTTATCCAGCATCCCTGGATGAGAGGAGACTGAGGGATGCTGAGCAAGAGGACTGGCATCAAATGAGAGGCCATGATGAGGACCACAGTGATTGGGGAAGAGGTGTGGGAGTGGGGAGCACAGCGTCCCATGGAGGCCCATCTCATCTAAGCCATGCTTTCATTGTATGCTCTGGGGCTGCTCATTCCTCTTGTGAATAGAGTGTTATGTAATGCAGAAGCCTGGGTTGCCCACTTCATGTTTCTAGGGTACCCACAGCAGTCTAAAGGGGGTGTGAGAGTCTGGGCAGCCACCAGTCCCACCCCACTGGTGCTGTGGTCCTCTCTTGCCACACTGTGTCTCCATCTCCCTGTGTGTAGGTCTACCTGTTACACACCTGCTCAAAACTCTGCAAAGAGCTCCCTTTTGACCACAAAGTAAACCGAGGCCAGGAGCCCAAGGACCCTGGATTTCTGGCCTCTGACCACCATTCCATTATTCCCCTCTCAATCCTGTCCTCATCTGAACCTGACCATGGTCCCAGCCCTCTGGGGAAGGACAAGATGGCATCCACCACACAGGGGACCCATTGAGGCAGATCTCATCTTTGTCTAACCAATATCCGGTCCCTGCATCTTCCTGGAATTTAATTGCATGCAGCAGTGTGCCCAGGCTCAGCATTTAAATCTGTCATGGATCTCATTCCCAGTTCTCTCAATTCCCCTGCAGTTAGGGAAGGCTGTTTGACTCAGCCCTCTCAAAGAGACCTATGTGGGACTCTGCTGGGAGTGAGGGAATAGTTTCTTGAAAAAGGTTTTGCTTTCCTGATAACAGGGGACACAAACAGCTGATACCACCTTTTCTTCTTCCTTTTTTGACTGCAGATGAGGTGGTTGGAACAGGAGCAGTCATCTTTGAACCAGGAGGCAGTGAATGATAGCAGACACCCTGTCATCTAAAGGCTATTAAACCATCACCAACAGCTGTCTACTTGTGGACTTATTATGCATACCCTTTACTCATTTAAGCCACTGTAGGCATGTTTCTCTTGTTTTCACTGAATGTCATTCCTTCCTGATACATCTGTCCAAGAGCTTAGCCTCACATTTCTTTCACCTCCTCAATCTCAGTGACTCTTACCTCTCTGCTCCATTTCAGCACCATACCACATCCAAATCCTGGAACCTCTTACCCCCAGAACTATTCACACTCCGTGTCTGAAATATCTCGTACAAACTGCTCCTTTTCTGAACCAAACTGATCCTTCCTTATTCCTGGGGTGACTGTGAAAGAGTGCTGTTCCTTTGGAGTTGGAAAGTTATTCTGGACTCTATTTGGAAAGGGTCAGGATCCACATGCACGCCCTCATTCAGATTTCTTTCCAGTGTTCACCTGGGCTAAGTACTGCTACAACTTCTGGCATCCTGCTTTTCCTCGTGTTTCTTTTTTTTCTTTCTTTCTTTCTTTCTTTTTTTTATCTTCCAACATTCATTTACTGCTCAATGTTTTCCATAGAATAAAGAACAGGATGTTTCATTTCAAGATTTAGGATTGAACAGTGGTGGCAGAAGACCAAGTGATGATTCTTCTCTCTAGTTATTTATGAAAAAAAAAAATCCATACCCTTTATGTTGTAAGATGCCACTGTGTCAATTTGGCTAACAGTGCATGACTACAGAACCAAATGTATCCTTTCCCCCTATAAACTATTCAGCAGAATTGTTTAAAAGCTTATCCTTCTGCAAGGCCACAAGAGTGAATCTCATTTTATTTTGATGTTGGAAAAAGGCAATCTATATTCTATGAGTTTTCCCCTAGAATTACCTTACTATAAACTTGTAACTGTGACTCTTACATTCCAATATGGTAACAAGATAACAAGACAACCGCCTTTCACAGGCTGTCTTCTATCTACCTCATAATGAAGTCACAGGCTTCTTCAGGTTTAATGAAAGCTCTCCATCTTGCAGTTGGGATTCCGTGTCAGTCCATAAACTCTTTGGCAAATCTCTTGCTGGACTCTAACTGAGCTGCTTCTGCTGTGGGGCCAAAGCACCGAACTCCCACAGAGTTCAGGTTCCCAACAATTCCAGCAGCTAGAGGTGCCTCTGGTCCAACAACTATAAATTCAATTTTCTCATCTTTGCAGAACTGTGCAAGGGCAGTGTGATCACTGATTGAGAGGTCAGTATTTGAAATCTTCTCAGAGCAGGCAGTGCCTGCATTTCCTGGGGTAACCAACACTTGTTTGTGCAAGTTTCCAGGCCAGCGTGTGTTCCCGTCCTCCATTGCCAATGACAAGTACTCGGGCTGCCATTGCATTATCTGCAAAGCAGGAATTCAGCAGGAAGATGAAAGCCGGTGACACAGTGGGACTTCGGGGCCGGAGCGTAGACCCTCGCCGAACCCTCTGGATCTGAGCGCCCACCACACGCCTTTCCTCGTGTTTCATGTAGACAACCCCCTTCTACTGCCTCCTCCTGTAATGCAGGAGGTGTACCTAGACACAGGTTCGATCCTAGACACAGGTTCCCTGGGTTGGGAAGACCCCCAGAGGAGGGCATGGCAACCCACTCCAGTATTCTTGCCTGGAGAATCTCATGGACAGAAGAGCCTGGTGAGCTACAGTCCACAGGGTCACAAAGAGTTGGACACGACTGAAGCGATTGAGCACTCACTCACTCACTCTACTGTCTCCAAGGTTGAAGTAGTCCTTTTGAGGGTCAAATCCAGCCACTCCCTCCTCCACAAACACACCCAGTTCTATTCCCTGTGGCACCTCTAGCACTTGTTCCATCTACTCCTATCTCTCTCTGCTATTTTAACTTCTCCCTCCTTGCCTTTCACCTGGAAATATGCTCAAGCTTCCCTCAACAGTCACCCCCCACCCACATGCACACACCTCCCTTTGACCTAGTACTCTCCCCTTGCACTTCCTCTTTCCTTTCCTTTGGCCCTGAGCTTGGTAAAAAAGCTATCATCATTGGGTAATTCTATCCTTCGCCACTCAATCACTTCCCATTCCTGACTCTGGTCCTATCCCGACCAGTCTACTGTAACTATTTATAGAAGTCTCCAGAGACTTCCATATTATCCAGCCCACTGGAGACAATTCAGTCCTTATCTTCAGGGGCTGCTTTGATGTGACATGGTGACCATACTCTTATTTTTCAGACTTCTTACTTTGGCTTCCAAGACAGCTTCTCACCTGGCGTTCCTTCAGCTCCGTCAATCACTCACTCCAAGACTCTTTGATTGAGGGGGTTAAGATCCTAGTCTTGCACCTTGGAGTTCTACGTTCAGCTCTTTCCTCTCCTCCTCTGTCATTTCTCATTCATCTTAGAATTCCCATCACTTCTACGCTGCCGATGCTCTGATATATATCGTCAGTCCGGATACTGCCTCTAAGGCTTAAACATTTTTTTCAGTCATTTATGGATTGCTCCTCCATGAAGATGGCACTGGGCACACCCAGTCCAAGTTCCTTGGGGTGTGCACCCTGAGGTCTCAGCTTCTGCTGTTTGTTCAAGTCTGACTTCTTGTCTAGTCATGGCAGACTCCCTGGAATGCTGGTACACATCATGATGGCTCACATCTCTTGAGCTTTTACAAATGCAGCTTGAAAATCCCTTCCGCTCCTTTCTTCTCCACCTCATTCTTAACTCATCCTCAGTGCTCACCTTAGGTATCACCACTCTGCCAGGAAGCTTTGCCTGTCTGGCATCTTCAGGCAGAGACACGTGCTGGTTTTGTGGGCATGCCCTCCACCACTGCACGCAACATAACCTGTCAGATCCAGCCTCTCTCTACCTCTCCATCTCTCTGTCTCTTTGTCTCTGTCTCTCTCTCCTGCAGCCCCCACCCCTCTGCACACTTGTGTGACTCTCCCCTAGCCAACTGGGGAGGCTTCGTCTTTGCATGTGGCACTAACTCCAATCTGCTATGTCACCTCCCAGCTACAGCATCCCCGAGCTAGCCTCTAAGCCGGTCACTCCTGGGACTTGGGATTCACTTCCACATCCCCAGGAATGTCAGGGAGACAGTGAATGAATGAAGACAACTTCAGCCTGACTCCTCATTTTGGCTGGGCTGCCCTGCTCCTGCCACATAGAGATGCTGCTGGGGAAGCGTTTCCTGCAGAAGAAGGCTTCCTTGTTCTCACTTGGGACGGTGCCCTTGCTCCGCTTTTAGCCCAGACGGCAGAGGCACCCCGCCCTCAGCATCTGAGCTACAGATGTTCACTTTACAGCCTCGCGCTCAGCCTCCGTCTCTGGAGGTTAATCCCAGTCCACAGGCTGAGCCCCACATGCTAAGCCTTCCTGTTGAAACTGGGTCCTGAATCCGTCACCCCCTCTCTTGATGGTGAGTTCCCCATCTCAGGCCCTTGCTGCCACCAGTTTCTCACTGGGGACAACCTCAGGGCACCATGGACAGAGAGGATCCCAGCAGGCTATAGTCCAAAGGGTCACAAAGAGTCAGACATGACTGAGCATACACACAGTTCATCAGAGATGCTCTATACAACACTGAAGGTCAATAGAGCCTGTGGCCAGGGTCAAGGTTACTCTGGTTCAGGGAGGCTCCTTGACCCTGTGCAAACGTGCCCGCTGTCCCCAGGCCAGCGCTGCAGAACAAGGGCACAGGGTAGTGACACTGAACGCTGTCTCTGTTACATTCTCAGAAACCATTCTGTGGCCTGCAGCCCTCCCCGGCATGTCAGACCACGGATTTGGCCCACCCAGCTCCAACTAGGGCAAGAGGACCCTTTGAGGTCAGCCTGCCGCCTGTACTTGGTTCTGAGTTAGCAGTTCGCTTACACCGTAACTCCCCTGTTGTGATGGCCCCTCTAGAAAGTGCCCCATCTAGACCCACAGCTCCTTCAAAGTCCAGCCCATGACCTCAGGATTCAAGGGTGGCTCTTGTTCAGTCACTAAGTCATGTCCAACTCTTTGTGACCCCATGGACTGCAGCACACCAGGCTTCCCTGTCCTTCACCATCTTCCTGGAGCTTGTTCAAACTCATGTCCATTGAGTCGGTGATGCTATCCATCCATCTCATCCTCTGTCATCCCCTTCTCCTCTCGCCTTCAATCTTTTGCAGCATCAGGGTCTTTTCCAATGAGTCAACTCTTCGCATCAGCTGGCCAAAGTGTTGGAGCTTCAGCTTCAGCATCAGTCCTTCCAATGAATATTCAGGGTTGATTTCCTTTGGCATTGACTGGTTTGATCTCCTTGCAGTCCAAGGGACCCTCAAGAGGCTTCTCCAACACCACAGTCTGAAAGTGGCTCTGGCCAAGCTCAAATGTGGAGAGGACCTGGGCTAATCGAGATGCCCCCTCAGGTTGGCATGGAGACGGCTGCATCCCAGGCAGGTATCAGCAGCCTCTCCCCAGAGACTGAGCAGGGAGTTGAGTGGGGGAAGGTGGGGGCAGGAGAGGAAGGATCCCCTCTACCCTCCAACTGGCTCCCACAGATTGGGGTGCACACTGGATTGCTTTGCTTCCCTGACCTCCGCCCTCTGCTAAGCTCCTCTCTGTTTCCTGAGCTGGCTCCTCACTTGCTTCCACATGAGATAGGGAAAACACATTTTGCTAAAAAGCTAACTTAGAGGCTCAGAGGGTAGAGTGTGGGGCTTTATTAAATAACTTAGAATTCTTTATCAAGGCAATAATCTAATTGCAAGGCTATTTTCTTTTCTCTGTGGAAGTTGAATAGCACCTAGATTTTTTTTTTTAATTTAACTTTGGTAACAAATCTTAATATTTCTCCAGGCAGATAGAGCACAGATGAAGGTGGAGGTTCAAAGTCTCACCAATATTTTTCAAACCCATTGCACACTTTTCTACTCATCCATTCATCACATACAAAGTTCTTGCTCCCCCCCCAAATAAATTAACTGAAAAGTTTTGTTTGGCTGCTTGAGGAAAAGAACTGAGATCCGCCCTTTGTTTTCTGTTTCATATTTTCTGGATAATGAATGAGTC